ACAAGAGGGCGAGGGGCCCAGACTCTTTACCCCTTCCCCTTCTTATCCCCCACCCTCCAGCAGAGATGACCTCTAGCCCCTTTCCTGCAGGAGAGGGACAGGGACAGGGAGAAAGCGGTCCCTGCTGGACTTGAGGAAGAGAGAGAGAGAATAGCTCTCCCTGGGGATCTCTAAGGTGCTTCTGGGAGGTCAGCCTCCCTCAGTAGAAATGGGTAGGGATAGTCCCTGAGCTGTGGTGGCCGCGCCATGCAGTCAGCGGGCCTGTTGTAACGGGGGCCACCAGTGTGACCTCTGAGAAGCACTTTGTCAGTTGGGGCAAGTGACTTGCTCCAGAAAATCCGGTAACAAGTGGTTTCTCCCCTGCCACTGGCCACAACCCGGGTCCTTTCTGTTTGTTTTTGAGATAAGTTATCCAGGCTGACCTTGAACTTGTGATCCTTCTCCCAAGTCACTGGGATTACAGACCTGTGGCACCACACCTGGCAGCAGGTGGTTTCTGTGTCCCACATGGACAGGCTGAGGACGCCCTCCTAGCCTCCTGGCCAGTAGACCACCTGGGTTAGCAACAGAGGCCTGTCCTTGGGGCTGGTGGCCCTTCCAATTTCCCTAGGCTCCTAAGCAGATGGCCTCAGAGGACAGGCAGGCCTCCACATTCCCCCTGCTCTTTCTCGTAGTGGTGTCTGGAGGGGCTGGAAGGAAAGACTTGGTACCCCACCCCCCCCCCGCCTTTCCCTCCCACACCAGGTGTGTTCCAGGAACACAGTACACATTTGTCAAATATGTGTTGTCAGTAAGGTCTGCAGGGTGGACGCCGTGCCCTATGTTAGGAAGGCAGCCGTGGCCTCCCTTGACTAGGCTGTACCGCCTCTCCCTAGAAGAGCCTGAGAAGAAACAGGGGCATTAGAAGGTTTGGACCTTACCAGGCCCTGCGTAGTCACGCTGCCCTCAGTTTGTCAAACTCAGGCTGCTGATATGTAAAATGCGGGGAGTATTAATTAGTGCCTTCTTCATGGAATTGCTATGAGTCAGGGTCTGGCAGGTCATTCCTCCAGCACTTGTTGTTGCCCGCCTTCTGGGTGGCAGGGCACTTCCAAGTACTGCTGTGATTGGCAGTGAGCCCTTCCCTTCCTAGGGCCCAGCTTCCCAGGAACATGGGGTCAGGGTCGTGGTAGCCACGGGGTAGGCTTCACTGAAGGAGCAACCCGGAAATTAATCAAAAGTCCCTCTGCTACGAGGAAGGTGCTTGATAAGTGATCACCTCACACCGACTAGTGCTTCATAATTTCTTATATGGCAACTGTTGATGAAAAGTCTGGCTTGATCCCTCTGTTAGGAGCTGGCACAGCAGGGGGACTCCTGTAAGAGGAAGGAGATTTCCTTAAGGCCAGCAAGGCTGGGTGACCTGGATCTGCCCAGTGGGAGGCAGAATCCAGGCCAGACACCTGTGTGCTCAGTGTGTCCAGCAGACTTTTCCCAGTCAGGGGCCCTGGCTGGAGGTGGGAGGAGCTGCCGATGGTGGACAGTACTGATGCCTTGGTCAGCACAGGGGTCATCCTCTTCCTGGGATCAAGTGCCAGCCCAGTGAGTTTGGATGTCCTGGACCCATAATCTGGAGAGTGACTTTCTGCTTGGAAGAGTTGGAAGCGTTCTGATGGCAGCTCAGAGCACCTACTATGAGGGACTGTGGGTGGGGGCAAGCTGTAGCTCCACCAGTTATGCCCAGCCTTCTGCCAGCAGGTTTGGACCTGACTATGCCCCGTGTAGTCGCGCTGCCCTCAGTTTGTAAAACTCACAGCAGACGCCTGGCAACCCTCTCTGTGTCTGGTTGCAGGGAACATCGAGTACAGCTGCCCAGCCACCAATGAGTGCGAGATCACGAAACGGAGGCGCAAGTCCTGCCAGGCCTGCCGCTTCATGAAATGCCTCAAAGTGGGGATGCTGAAGGAAGGTAAGAGGTCTGGACAACCAAGGGCCCTCTGAGGGCCTGGGGTCACCCGCTAGCTTTTGGTCCTGCCAGGCCATCCTGCCTCCTGGCTTGAGGCCCACCGGGGTGCTGGTGTTTCCCGCGCCCTGCCAGCCAGCCTCCAGCCCACAGCCCGCAAAGGTCTCCTCCTGCCGGAGAGGCTGAGGGCGGGAGGCAGGAGTTGGAAGCTCTCCACTAAGGATCCTTCTGGGACATCTGACCCCACTTGGGCCCTGGTCTTGGCACTCTGGGCAGGCCCCCTCTCCACCCTCGCAGGCTTGAGAGGCTGATGACTCCAGCACTCTCTAGGACATTGAGACCTTCCCTAGTGACCCTTCCCTGCCTTGCATTGCAGCCGGTGGACAGACAGTGGTGAACACTTTCCCCTGGCCCAGTCCCTCTCTCCTACTTCGCCTTCTCTCCTGTTACCTCCTTCTTCTAGTTCAGCAGCCACGAGCCACACGGGGCTTCTGAGCAGTAACTAGTCAATCCAAAGGGTGTTCTGCACCCGGTTTTCAAAGACTTAGGATAATAAAAAGCAGTATAAAAAGTGGTAGTGGTTATTTTAAAAAATTGATTGCATGTAGAAATGATCATACTTTGCTACATTGGGTTAAATAAAACACTTTTAGAATTAATGTCATGTGCTGCTGCTTCTCCTCCTCCTCCCCTCCTCCTGTGTGTGTGTGTTGGGGGGTGATGGGGATTGAACCCAGGGCCTTACAGGTGTAGGAAGGCACCCTACACCGAGGTACATCCCCAGCCCTTTTTCATTCTGTTTTAAGACAGGGTCTTGCTGAGTTGCCCTGTCTGGCCTAGAACTTGCTACCCTCCTGCCTCAGCCTCTGGGAGTAGCTGGGTCACAGGTGTGAGCCACCATGCCCGGCTACACACTGCTGTGGCTCTCAGCAACACACTTCTCTTTACCCTCCTTAATCGTGGCTCCTAGAAAACAGGATGACATGTGGCTCATTGTGTGGACAGCTGCTCTCCTCACTTTCCCTGTCGATCTGCTCAGTTTGATAAACCTGGTACCGTTTGGGGGATGTGGAGTGTGTGTGTGTGTCTCCTTTGCAGCGTTCAAGGGGAGCCAGTGGAAATTCTACAGAAAGTGGGAGCAGGCAGTAAAAGAGGTGTGTGTGGAGGATCAGGAGGGCTGCCAGGGAAGAGAAGGGGCCCTCTGGAGCCGGTGGGGATCATGTTAGGAAGCCCAGCGCAGTCCCTCAGGCTTGGGGTGCTCCTCCCACCCCCCTCCCCATGCCCTCTGGAGCAGAGGGCCAGAATTTAAGATGCTTCTCCAGCAAGACAGCTTGGATCTTCACGTGTTGTGGAAGTTGGGAGACCCCCAACTTCTGTTTCTATTCCAGGCTCCCCCTACTCCCGCCTTTACCTAGGTTAATCTCAGCATCTGAACCTGTAAAGCAGGAGCTTTTGAAGCAGGTTCTTAATTACCCACTGTGTCTACACAGCACACTGGCCTTTAAACGCAAGTTTGCTCATTTGTCCCTTCATTTGCCCCTTTGTGATGTGGTGGGCCAACTCAGTTCTCAGACACATGGTTCCCAGTTCCTTTGTTGGGGGCTCTGTGTAAGAAACAGCTTTCTTTCTAGGTTAAAACTGGGCTGTGTTAGACCTGTCAGAAGAGCACGGGTTCGTTCATTTGGAGCTATACAATTTGGTCTTACCAGGGTGGAGGGTGGGGCCAAGCTGCTCACAGCCTCCTGGTGTCCCAAGGGAGGAGGTGGGGCCCACAGGCCACAGATAGTAGGTCATAGCACAGCTCTCTCCATGTCCCCTTCTGTGGAAGGCTGAGGGTTCAAGCCTTGGAGAGACTCCTGCCTCTTAAGTTCAAGAGATGCAGCTGCCATCTTGTTCTGTAAGCTGGGTGTAGGGAATCGGGATCAGGCTGGGGGCCCATGTCCCTGCTTGTCCTGGCTGCAGTGTGCAGCCTCTCTGCTTGCTTTGAGGGAAGACTCCTTGTTATAAATGCACCTCTGGAATTTTTAAAAAAATTTTATTTATTTTTTTATTCCTGGAGATTGAGCCCAGGACCTCAGTGCACACTAGGCAAGGGCTCTGCCACTGAGCTCCATTCCCAGCCCCTTTTGACTTTCTATTTTGAGAAAGGGTCTTCCTAAGTAATGAGGGTCTTGTTAAGTCACCCAGGCTAATCCTCCTCCTTCAGCCTCCCCGAGTTGTTGGCATGACAGGTGTCCAGCCCCAGCTGAGACAGGGTCTTGCTAAGTTTTCCAGGTTGTCCTCAAACTCGTTATCCTCCTGCCCCTATTTCCTGAGTAGCAGGGATTATAGGTGGGCACCTTGGCCCCTGGCTTGATGTCTGAATTTTAAAGGTGATAAAGTGGGGCCCTGCGGGGATTGGGGTGAGATGACTTTCCCACCTCAGTCACACACGGGCAGGGTCGGGAGCTGGGCCCCAAGCCTCCCTCTCTGTGCTGTCTGCCTGCCCCTCCCTTTTGGCAAAGGCCAGGGAAGGGTCCACTATTAGAAAGGGCTGGACTGCTCAGAGTGGGCTCAGCAGAGACCTAGGGGCTATCCAGTGCTGGGAAGAGAGGGAGACGCTTTCTAGTTATTCCTGAGGGGAAATGACAGGGGAAGGGTTCATGGACGCCAGGAGGTGTGTGGCTGGACCTGACTGATGGGCAGCAGCACTGGCAAACCTGGACAGGCACTTGGGAGAGAAATGAGATGGGTGTGTGAGTCCCAGGAGGACGGTGTAGGGGGCCCTAGGAGGATACAGGTGACACCCCCATGCTGCCCATTTCCCCTAAATAAAGAGCCCCAATGGCCTCTCCCCAGGGTGGCCGCGGAGCACCCCCTGGCAGATTTGCTGAGCCTGAAGAGGCCTGTTGAGGAGCTCTGGCTGAAGGAGGAAGGGACAGTCACCAGAACACTGCCCTCCCCCAGCGCTGGCAGGTCCCAATCCAAAGACACAAAGGCTGCTGCAGCGAGGAAGCAGAGCCTGGCTGAGCGTGTGTCCCCGCGGAGCCCTGGCGGGACCTGGGATCTGAAGCTCCGTGGGGACTGGTCCCCTTAGGAGGAGCAGGCCGCATTCAGGAGCCTGGGTCCCTGCCAGGTAGCGCTCTTGGCAGCGCGGTGGCTTCTGCTTTTGTTTGGGGGGTGCTCCTCCTGGCTCTGTGCACAGGGCCACCCCGGGGACCAGGGGGGGCTGCCTCCCTCTGTTTTCCCTCCAGCTCTTACTCTGAAAGGCAAACTTCCCCTTTTCCCAGGGCTGCGCCTCTGCTGTGGGGTGTCGGGGTCCCTAAGTCTATAGAAAGGCCAAGTGTGAGTGAGGGTCGACTGACCCCCTCCCTCCCACCCTCACACCTGAACCTCTTACCTCTTCTCTCCAGATGCTCAAGATGTCTCTTCTACCCCAGCTTCACCATTTACTTGCTTTCCTGTGTCATCTGAGTGCCTGTGTCATGATTTAGGTGCCCCAGCCCTTACCTGGGAAGTGCCTCACTCATCGGCTGAGGCCGGCTTTGAATTTGCAATCCTCCTGCCTCAGCCTCTTGAGTTGCTAGAATTACAGGTGTGTGCCACTGTGTCCAGCCCAAGGGTCTTTCTTTAAGTAGACCTCGTATATAAAAATCTGTGTTTTCAGGGTAAAAAAGTAATGTTCTCTCTCTCTCTGTTTTTTTTTGTTGAGGTACTACTAATTGAACCCAGAGCACTCTACCACTGAGCTACACACCCAGCCCTTTTTATTTTTTATTTTGACACAGGGTCTTGCTAAGTTGTTGAGGCTGGCCTTGAACCCGTGAACCCCTGCCGCAGTCTGGCTGGGCACAAAATAACCAAGCTGCCATGTGAGGGCCACAGCCTATGTTGTCTCCATAGGTGGAGCTGTTGGTTGGACACTTACGCCCTCTGGTGATAGAAAGGTGATAGTAGCAACCTCCCGTTGTAACTTCTCTCCGGATAGCCCCTCTTTCTCTAAACTTTTTTCCCCTGTCTGACTAACTCCTTTTACTTGATTTAAAATGTCTTCTCCTAGACTAAGCAAACAAGATTGTACCAACGTCCATAATGGTAATGTGCCAACTGGCAGAGTTCCTGGGCTTTCCTTTTGTATCTTTTTTAATCTTCACTGTGATGGTTCCATTGTGATATATTTAACAACCCCTCTTTAATGAACCATGGGAACTGTTCCTGATCTTACTGAGATGCCTCCTTCCTCTAGCACTGTACTTAACGCCCTTTCGGTTTGGTTCTTGTTAATTTTTAATTCCATATTTCCGTGATGAAGATACCCCTCACTAAGATAATGCAAAACAAAACCGAGACAAAATGAAACAAAAATGGAACAAAAATTCATTATATCAGCCTTTCTATCCTCCTGAAGTGTCCATCTGTCCTTTCTCCCTATCTGTTCCTCAGATGCAAATAGTTTTTCTTCCATCCCACCCATCTCCAGGGATTGGCAACTTAAAACAAATGGAAAGAAGAATCTTTAAATGGTTACCCATCCTCTCACACTGCCCTCAGGAGCGAGCAGTTTACCTTATCACTTACCCTCAGGCGTTCCCTGTACCACCAAATGCCGCAGTCTGCTGGGCACAAAATAACTCAGCTACCAGGCACTTGTAGGTTCAAAAACGAACTCCCCAAACGCCACCCAAGTGGCCCTTCTAGGAACATTCCCAACCGGAAATCCCTCCTCCGGAAATCCCTCCACAACTTCACCAACCAATGCAAGCTCCCCAGGAATCCCCGGGAGAACTCCAAAGTAGTGGGCAAGTAGCGGCTGCCCTAGGGGAACAGCAGGGGTCTATATACAACTGAATACGCAGCTTAACTTAACCATTATCATCTCAATGGCTCGCTGGTCACCTCTCAACCACTCCCTTCTGGCAAAAATGCCATGCATCATCCCAACTCGGCTGTGGCCCTCAACAATCCCCCTGCCTTAGCCTCCCAAGTCACTGGTATTACAGGTGTGCATCATGTTGGCACCCAAGGTT